GGTTTGGGGTTCCTGGTTTAGGGTTTAGGGTTCAGGGTTTAGGTTCATGGTTTAGGGTTTTGCGAAAACAGCGCCGCGCCAAATCTTAAGCTGAGCACTCTATAAGGTTCTCGTCTTCAAAGAATGCCACAAATATAGTTTCATTGAGGAACTCAACTCCTGAATCCAGGACTTGGAAATTCATTTGACTAAGTTTTGTCGGTTTCCCCATATCAAGATTGTGGACTGAACATGCCAGCAGGTAAGCCCTACGCCCCAATCCTTCTGAGACCGACGAATCTGCGAACAACATCTGGCATCCATTTTTTTGATCTCTATAAACCCTATGAACCTTAAACCTCGAACCCCTCAAGGCTAAACCCCTAAATGCGAAACCCTGAACCCCTAAACCCTTGTAAATCCATGATTGGCACCCACAGGGAAGTTTACCTCGGCCTGAGTGCAGGTGCCCGACATAAAGTAAAACTGAAATGGATAATGGGGTATATGTTGGGGTTATATTGGGATTATATTGGGATAATGGAAAAGAAAATGGAAACTACAACAAGATATAGGGGTTAGTTATACTAGGGCATATATTGGGGGTTGGGTCTTTCCCCCTTACAGTAACTGTTGCCACAAGGGATTATAGGAGTTATAAGAATCCCCCTAAATAAGGCCCCTTTAAGGACAGTTACTGGGAGGGGGAATGACCCAAGAAATGGAGGTTTCTCCACAAAAAAAGGCCCTGGGACATGGCTTGGGCTTTAGGAGTTGAGGGCTTAGGGGCTTGAAGATCCAAAAAGGGGGCTACTTAGGAGTGACGAGGATGTTAGATTGGGCCAAAGTGCCTAGGCATTCGTCCGCTTGAGAGAGAAGGTTCCACTATAGAGCTTATGCAAGGATAACGTCGATAAAATCCGAGAACGGGACCACTAAATGTATCCAAATGTAGGAACTCCGCACCTTTTGGTTTCCGACGGGCCAATGTCTTGTGCTTCATTGCATGACTGCGGCTTGGATGAAATTAGATCCTACATAACCTAGGGATCCCTGGGTATCATATCTGCAGATTTTAGGGACCAATCTAGGTTATTTGTATACTGGGATCCGTGAGTGTCCATGACGTTTCACGCTCCTTTCAGCGACGCTGCGGCAGCTGGTGCTCGGCAAGTGCAGGTCTTGCCCGCGACCATTTGTAAGCTGAGAGCAGCAGCTGAATCTGCAAACGCCTAGGCCCAGCAGCTGCCTGAAGGTTGGAGCTGCCCTCCTTGCTGCGCGCGGCGGGCTTGGCACCGGCAGCGAGCAGCAAACGCACTACTGACACATGCCCGTGCCTGCATGCTTGGTGAAGCGGGGTCTGCCCACAGTCTTGCGAATCCATTTGGGCTCTTGCCTCCAGGAGCACTTGCACCGCAGCCTCGTTGCCAAGCTCAGCGGCGAGCGAGAGTGCAGTTAGGCCGCTGTAAGCATGTCTGCTTTCTGTGTTCGCCTTGGCTTCAAGTAACAGCTGCAGGGCCAAAATGCGCCCAGGTGACTCCAGCAGGGACGGCTCAGCAATGTTGCAGGCTTCCGGCCCAACGTCTGCCCGAGCCTCAAGGAGGAGACGTAGAGCATCAAGCTTGTGGAAGCAGGCTGCCATCTGAAGAGGCGAGTAAGGCGGCCATGGATCAATGTGAGTGCCAGGTTTTATTATGGCATTTAGGGCCCCTCTGTAGGCATCCTCAGTGAAAGTGTTGGGATTCTGTGGTCGACCAAGTATCCACTCAAGCTCAGACACGTTACCACACCCGGACGCACGTACGATCTCTTTGAGTTGCTTGTGTGAAGGATCGATGAAGTTCCTCAAAATCAATTGGAGCTCGAGAGGGTCGTCCAGCTCCTCTTCATCTTCCAGAAGCTCGCCATCATGTAACAGCCGTTGGCGGAACCGTGTTGCATCACACAGGCTATGCAAGCGTTGCTTCAAGGCCCTCACCGTAGTTTGTTCCTGTGTGGGTATGGTCGCTAGGACTTTGCCTGATGCCAGGCGGACCGTCACCATCTCCATAGGGTGCCATGCACAGCTGAAAGCGTTTAAGCTTTCATGGTAATACTACTTGAATTTGGAGCCACCATATTACAATATGCCACTTTTTGAGATCCATATCCTCCGAAGCACAGATATCATAACTAATGCAGATAAGCCCAGGCAAAAGCCTCGACAAGAGAGTGCTTTCCCCCAGATCAGACTGCGACCGAATTGCTCTCTTTCTGCAATAAGTGTGATAATTGTAATAATCATAATAATAGTCCTATAGAAATGAAAATAAGACTACTACTGTTAACAGTAATATTAATTAATAAGAAGCACATAGGAAGAACCCAGCGGCATCTGGACATGCAAAGCTGAGCTAAGCGCCTCTTCTTTGTCAACATCTTTTCTGTCACGTTGATAGGAATGGAAGTTGATGAAGGCTGAAAGTCCTCATGAAGACTCTGAGCAGCTGATCGCTGACAATTCGAGGTTCAACAGGCCTATCTGAATGCGCATCTTCTACATTAGTCGGCTACCTGCAGCAGCGACACTACCGGAACAGTACAGGCTGTTGCATTTGCAAAAACCCGACCACCATGCTCTTGGTGGGCGCAAGTCATATCTAAAGCACGACTGCCTCTCCAGAGTTTTGCAGCTAAAAAATGATACTCTCTCCTGTACGCTTGGGGTGACCGGGGGTAGATGGGGAAGTAACGAGGTTCCAGGGGTGCATATTAGGGTCACGTAATAGGGGCCCCTGTCAGCCATTCCCAACTTGTCGACACCCGGCCAAGCAGCTGCTGACCTAGGCCCTGAGCTACAATAAATCCCTGACAGGAAGCCTAAAACTGCGTCGTGAGCTAGGTGATGTTGGGAAGAGTAGATCCCTCATGCTGTAGTCCCTACATTTCCCACTCCTGCATTCCCCATCAGGACCCTCCGACTAAGTACCTCTTGTGTGGCCTGCTTACCCACCATCGGGCACCCACCCTCAACCCGAAATTCTAAGCCACCAGGAACCCTAAGCCCTAAACAGTGTGGTCCTCGTCGTCATAAGGGAAGCGCACAGACCAGTCTGGCTTGGCGTCCCGTGCCACGGTTGGCTGTGACCTTTTCTCACCACAGAAACCTCCCCAATGTTTAGGGTCTAAGGCTTTAGGGTTTAGGGTTTAGGGTTTAGGGTTTAGGGGACAATCTCTCCGCCCCTTTGACAACGGTACTATGTGGAAGTATCCATTATCAGGAGGTGGGGGTTTTATTAGAGGGACGCGTTTCCAAACATATTACGCGGGCTAGCTTGAACAAGATTGGTGTCCCAGCTGAGGCTAGAGCTTATACAGGGGTTATACTGGGTTTATATAGGAGGCAGCCACTTTTCTCAAGCACTGTTCTGATCCCGACAGGAAGTAACCCTTAGCCCATATAAACCCTACACCGCTACATACAGTATGTGTAACCCTGTATAATTCTTTCAAGGGCTCTATATTTTCACACACCTATTACTTACTGTGTATAGCCCCTTTAAGGGCGGGCTCTACATATATATATATATACATATATATACATATATACATGCATGTATATATATATATATGCTCAGCCACCCCCCACCCCCCACCCCCCCAGAACCAACCCTGAAGGCTGTCAAGGTGCACTGTGGCCAATATAAGAGCTGTATCGCTGATAGTGGTGAGCTTTCTCAACTGTATGAATAGTACGGTGGATACGAAAAATCCTGCATGACCTTAGGTACCTTAAATCTTGGGAATCATGGTATTATAAGGGGGTCATGCAGGATTCTTAATATCAACAGTATGAACCAGATGATTACGGCGCAAAGTCCATGAGATGTGCGTGTGTTGTCCTCAAATTAATCGCTCCCATTTTACCCGCAAAATCATTCCCCCAAAAAAGCCAGTGAACTCAACTATGCGTTGTTTTTCCTTTGGAGGAATTGAAATGAAGACTTTGGTGAAGCTTAAGAAAGCTTTTGCAGTAACGATAATCATCTCTTCTATTGAGGATTAAACGATCAAACAGCTGCTGAAAAACATTGTCATCAAGTATTTGGAACCAGCAAATAAATACCAGTCATGGAATAAAACCTAAATATGTCTTATGTCTAAGGAAAACAAGGAACCCTATTCTATTGACATGTAAATTGAATTGTTGCAACCCACTGTATATATAGAGACCTTACAAAAGCTATGGGTTTCTCAGAAATGTCCAGGCGCAACTCCTGTCAACAACATACGAAAAGGGCGTCCTCTAAATGGTGAGAGACAACCACGTTGATATGATCGAGCCGTCATGCAAAGAAATTCATTTAACCAATTGCAAAAAATGTCATTTTTGATGGATAGGGACATGCAGTTCACAAGACGGACCAAGTCAGAAGTAATGAAACAAGCACATAGATAGATAGATAGATAGATAGGTAGACAGATAGATAGATCCATTGATTGGTCGAAATCTGTGTCCTACATTTAAGGAGCTATAGAAAGCATGGAAAATGACGGTAGAAAAGTTATCCAGTGCTTGTCCATACGAAACATATAAGATACTGTTAGTGGGCCCAACATGTTTCCATGCCGCCCATGACGGTTAGGAGGATCTGCGGGATCTGTGTCGTGAACTAAATCAACTTGAACAATCGTGGAATCCATGGAATTTACGAGCAGGATTTTCATATGGAGATCTCTCTGCCACCTGCAATAAGATACCAAGAAATGCCTGCGAACAAAATAATGAAAATCAGGTAAAAGGGAACTAGTCGGCTCGGCCAAGTTTTTGCAAAATTTCCATAGCTTCCAAGCAATCAGGTGGAGACCCTAGGTTTTCTCAAGAATCATGAAATTGAATCATGGAATTCGTGGAAAAAGTTGGCCAGGCTAACTTTTTCATAAATTCTATGATTTCTAAGAGAAAACTGCGGTCTCCACCTGGTTGTTTGGAAATCGTTGAAATTTTGGAAAGCTTGCTGGGCCAGCTTTTCCACCCATTCTATAGACCAAAATAGTGGAAAAAGTTGGCCTGGCCAACTTTTTCCACGAATTCCAAGATTTGAATGAAAACCCTGGGGTCTCCACCTCATTGTTCGGAAATCGTTGAAATTTTGAAAAAGTTGGCCCAGCCAACTGTAGAAAGCATGGAAATGTTGAAAGATACCTCAAGGTTGGCTCTCGGGGGGGACCATATATATATTTTTATGTATATTTCCCGCTCAAGGCAGGTCTCAAAAGAATGTAGTCTGCAGTACCGAAGGGCTTGCTCTCCTTGATGAAGACGTTGAGGGTCAGGAATTCTCCCCGCTCTATCCTCCATCTAACATAGATAAGAGGAGCTCTACAGTCTAGAGTAACTGCGGCATTGGGCACATAATATCACAGCATCGGGCCGGGAGAGGGTTCCGAAAACGATGGAACTGTGCAACAAGAATTCGGATTGGGAGTCTGTTCTCCCGTGATTCCAGTGGCGCAAAAAAATTATGCGCGGATATGGACATGAGCTTTTCAGCTTTGTGCATTGATCATTGAGTGACAGCCACATTGAAAGCTTGCAAGCACTGTCCTGTTCTGGTACTTCTGCAAATAGTTGTGGTTTGCATCGAAGTCCTGCTCGGGAGCTGCTGGCGTCCACATCCTACTGCCATGTTAGTACAGGAGCTGATACAGCGATCCTACTATGTACCCCCGTATAATCCCTAAGTAACCCGTATAATATCATCCTTATACAACCCCTGGTAATCCCTATAAAATCCGGGTATACCTCCTAAAAAAAATTGCACTTCACAGAACCTAGACAGTGGCCCTGAACGGCGACAACGTGTCCGGAAAAGTTGGATATAGCATGCCGTAGAGATTCTTGCCGACCTAGGCTGGTGATCGAGGGCGTGGCGGACTGTGGCTTTGGACTGCAAAAACCCAAGGGATCCATGTATGTAAATAATAATACTTACATTGGGCCCCAAAGTCTGTAAATATTACCTACATTGGGCTATTTGGATCCCTGGGGAAAGCTAGTACTCTACAAGGATAACACTCGCAAGATTGATGCTGATGGTCGTGCACGAGCAGCAAATAGATGTCCCAAGGCTTGCAATACGTCAAGTAGTCTTGACTACAGCTTGCCTTGAACGCAAGTAAACTATAAGTGTTAGGATTTGGGCTTTAGGGCTTAGGGAAGGTGACTGTCACCCTTTCTTAGGGTATGGTGGCCCATGATTTTGGTTGGCTTTTCAGGTGTACATTCAAAACAGGTCCAGCTGACCACCATGAAAATCTGTGTCGCGCAATTGACAGTGCAAGGCATTTCCAAAGGGTCCATGTCGGTCTATATTATGTACTTAGGGTCTAAAGAAATCCCTGTTTTACTGCTTTTAGAACCCAAATACACTTTCTGCATATACATGAGCTATTGTGGAAGCTCCACGCATCCCCCCGAATAACCCCTTTAATACTCTCCTATATAATTCCTCAAAGAAGCTTCTACATCTACATGAGCCCTTGGGCATTTCCAGGCTTCCGGCATAGGTGAAGTAGCCTCGGCCAAGGCAAGACTTGAGTAGTGTTTTTTTTGGTGGTTGAACCTAGTAAGATTATATTCCATATATAAAATACTAAACCCCAAAGGGAGGATAGAATCTTACTCTATAATGGGTACCATAGTATCCCCAAATAACATACTACTCACTTGGGCTTGTACGTCGCAGAGAATGGAAACTGTCCCTAAACCCTTGACCCTACCCCTTCTTCAGGCTACCTAACCCTCAACTTTCAGTATAGAAGATTGAGACACAGAACTAACAAACCCCTCCCAAAACACAATGAAAAACTTAGGAGCCCCGAGGTAGGTACTCTCAAAACAGCTGGGGTATAAGGCTTTAGGTACTGTTTCGGCTTCAGGGTGTAGGTGGAGCACTTCCAGTTGCAGGGGACAACGGTTTAGTGTTGAACAGCTATACCGTCACAGAGCTGAAGTGCGAAGCAGGCTTTGCGCCTACTGGTAGCATCTCCTAAGAGCAACCCTAAACCCTATAGTGCCCCTTAAGTAGATAGAATATGGTTTTGGGTATATTAATTTCATAAGATCCCCATATACCCCATATTCTATCTACTGAAGGAGCACTATAAACCCTAAATCGCATTCTCCACTGGGAAGCAACAGGCAGCGAATGTAGAGATCAACATGTACCCTGGGCAGAGGGGCTGCGGCACTGGAGCCATAGTCTAAACTCCTAGTATCCCCCTTCATATCCCCTACAGTAGTCCCTTATATAATCCCTTATATAAAGCCCCTTTAAGGAGTTTCTACCCTAAACCCTGCATAATCCCTTGTATAACCCGCGCTTTAATTAAGGTGTTTAGATCATGGCTCACTTGGCCTATTCTGCCGGGAAGCCGAGGATTAACATGGGCACAATCTCAGCGGCTCCACCGAGTAGGCCCTGTCGGGGGATGACCGGCAGAAGATGGGGGTGGGGGTGAAGGGTTTAGGGGTTTAAGGTGTTTAGAGGGTTTAGGCTTTGGGGTTTAGGGGACAATTTGGTTGCAACTTGGACTAGAACATATGAACATATACAAAATTTATCACAACATACTAGAATATACCATAAATACCTAAATATACCGGAATATACTACAATATACTTACCCTCCATGCCTTGCCCGCGGGCTTCTTCTTCTCCTTCTTGGCCTTGTTCTTCACCGTCGTCTCCTATAAAAAGGGATGATGGGGGGTTAGTTAGAGATAGGTGGCGGCGGTGGTGGTGGTGATGGTAGTGATGGTGGTGGTGGTGGTGGTGGTGGTGGTGGTGGTGGTGGTGGTGGTGGTGGTGGTGGTGGTGGTGCCGGTGCTGGTGGTGCCGGTGCTGGTGGTGCTGGTGCTGGTGGTGCTGGTGATGCTGGTGCTGGT